CCCCCCCCATATGCACTCTAAGGGAGAGCAGCATTGAGAGACTGACTCACCTCGACTTCATTTCCGTGCATAGGGATTTGGGCGCTGCAGAGCAGATCTGGGCCCTCAATCCAGAAGGACCCTCAAAATAAATGAAGGCAGTCCCAAACTATTCAAACTCTTTTAAAATAGTAGTAATAATAATAATAAAAAAAAAGTTAATTGCCAACCCATGTGTCTGATCTCATCTCCAAGATGCTGCTCTGTCTTAGAGTGTGTATGGAGGGGTCCGCGGGTGCAAGAGTCCTGTCTGGTCTCGGGGCAGAGAGGTGGTGCAGGACTAGTAGGGAGGAATACCATGTCTTCAGTGAAAGAAATCAATCTGCACTTGTGCAACAATGCATATTGTTACTGCAGTAGCAGGTAATAAATACAGTACTGGTTTTTATATGGGATACAATATATTATGCAGATGAAAAGCCCTTTGCAATCCAGACTGACGTTAAAAGACTAAAGAACCGGTCTGGAACCCAACGGACAACTGCTGGGCTACATCTAGAAATGAATTAAAAACCTACTCGTCACAAAACTGAGCTAGGAAGTGCAAAGAAACTACACATTGCCCTACTAAACTTTTTTAAGAAAAGCAAAAATTTAGTACATTGATTTGCTAAAGACACTTCTCCTTATGGAGTTCACATTATAAGTAAGACAGTGAAAACCCGAACACATGAACCCTGCTTCCCCCCCCGCCCCCCCCAAAATCATCATCCTAGGGAAGGGAGGCTAAATATTTTCCCTACTCCCCCTGCAGCCTGCCTGAGAAAGGGCCCTTCTACACTCTGCTTCTCTGTGTATTTTACCCATTTAAAAAGCTTCACAGAAAACACTCACTCATTTTGATTAAGCGATGCTCACGAAGAAATAAATAAAGTGCCCTTCTTACTTGTTAACACCTTACACAGGTCATCAGAATTAATTTCCCCATGAATCTCCCTGATCCACAAAACCTTTGCCTCTCTAATGTGTTTTGGAAGTCCATGGGGGGGGGAAACATAGAAAATTCACATAATTCACACATTCCCTATTCTGCCCGAAAATTGCTCCAGAAGACAGCAGCATAGCAGAGATTAGCCCAGCTATGCCGTGCTATAGCCACAGAAAAAGGGGTTTCTAAGCATCTAAACCCCAAGGGCTGAAGGGGAGGGGCTGCTCCTGCTTTTGCATGGTGCTCCCCAGCAAAGGAAAAGGCAAAACAGATAAAAATAACTGCCGCTGAGAGAGGGTGAGAAGAAGGTTGGATTGCATTTGCAGTATCACTGCTGTTTCCTAGGGTAGCTGAATGCAGAGAGCCGACGAGGCCGCTACCACCACGCTCTGCAATTGCAACTAGATGCTGCCCTCTGCAGTGCAGGCCCAGGCGTGCACAGGGCTTTGGACAGCTCATGAAACTAGAACCTTCCTCCCCTTTGGTGTCTTGTTTATCCTAGCAACCTAGCAGGGCTGTTTTCACGGGAGTAGCTGTACTGCTGTGGTTGTGACAGACTTTGGATATAGGCTGATGGGGGGACCTTGCGCCAGAATTCTTGTCCACGTTTCCGGTGGCTTCAGGAGATGTGATAAAACCAAAGCTAGTCTCCTTTGCGGAGGCAAGAGGGTAAGATGATCATATCTATTCCTTGGTGTTTTTGTCAAACGAAGCTAGAACTGCAGTGGTCTGCCATGCAACCATCTGTCCTCTGCGATCTGGAGAGGAGAGCCTGTCGCCTCATACCGTACAAGCTGGGAAGGTCCCCTCAGATGGTAGAAGCTTTCCAGTCCCTCTTGCACGCAGAAATGAGGCCTGGGAATGCCCCAAAGCCATCAGCAATGTATCAGTCTCCCTCAGTTTCAACTAGATTAAGTAATCATGGCTGATCTAAGGAGTAGTTTTCAGAGTTAGACCCACCTGGTTGCCTCTGCTTTAGGCTGCAAAGATAAGATGCATGCAGCTCACAGGCCCCACTGGCCTAATCCTGGTGGCAGTAAGTCAGCCTGACCTTTGAAATACTAGGGGCTAAGATGCTGTAGGGAAGCAGTTTTGAGTCAAATGGAACAAATGAAGTAAAAATAAGCCTCCACGGTGCCTTGGCGGTGATGGCAGAAATGCTGTGTTCCTCTGGAGAGACTGAAAGAGCCAGCAAGGAACAGGAAGCTTCTAAAGGTACAAAACAAGTCATTTTGCCTAGGGAGCCTCTTCTTCATGCAGGGCATCTGCATATCTCAGGATACGTCTCATGAGACTGCAGGGCTACCAGACACGCTTCTGAGATGGGCCTTTCCTGTGCTGCTGCAATGGATCCTTCCAGTCTTGGGATCTGTCTTGGCCACTCCCAGCCACATGGAAGTGCTACAGCAGATCCTCCCTCTGTGTGAACAGGCATGGACATTCTCCATCTCCTCCAAAGCAAAGGTCAGGGGCTACATGGAGAGATCTGCATCACAGCTGCCTGGGGCCACCCACCCCTGTACTTAACTGCACTGGCCAGAGCCAGTCCTAGGGTAAAGATCTAACAGCTGTATTGAACCGATGTGTTCCAGATTGGCTTGAATTAAGTTCAGAAGGAATTTGAGGCCTGACCAGGCCTATACTTGAGTCTATTGCACAGAAAAAGCTCAGATTTTGAGCCCCAGGTAGCTTAACAAAATTGTATTTTCATGAAAACACTTGAAAGAGCTTGGATTTTTTTTTGTGTGTGTGTGGGGGGGTGTTCTCCTTCTGAAGCCAGAGAACCGAAATGAGAACCAATTCCCCCTCCCCCCAGGCAAGTCATGAAGTGGACTCATTCTCTGATGAACTTTATTTAGCATCTCCTTGGGAAAGTCCAAGTAGCAGGCTGGCAGATTTCTGTCCATCTGTCTGTCAGAGCTCTCTGTGCTGCTTCCTCACAGATCCATCATTAGCATTTTGACCAATATCACTTTCTGGTGTGAACTTTGCCTTTCAGGTTCAAGGCTTGGCAATCACTTCCCTTTTTCCACTCTTTTTTCCCTCTCTCTCTCTTCCCTCTTTCCTACCTGTAACCTTTATCCACTTCCTCCATCAGGTGCTTTCCACTTCCCTTACTGCCAGCCATTTTGCTTCTCAAGTGTGACTGTGACTCAAGACCTTCCTTCAGGACTCCCTGCTCTGAGCAGGAACTTCCAAAGCTCTCTTCCTTTACAAAGCGCCCACAGGTATCTATACGTTCATAGAAACTAGATTCATCAGGCTTAGACCCTCTTGGTGCTGAGATTCTTTGAGCCCTATGCATTTTGTAAGGTACCATACATCACAGGAATCCTATAAAATCGAGAGTAATAACAGTTAGACTGATAATCTGGAGGATTTAATCATGATGCAGCACTGGGGCTACCTGCTGCAATTCTCTGGTTTTGACCCCTCCGTAAGATACCTTTACACTCAAGAACAACCCATTTATTCCCATCAGCCCTGCTTCGTAGCTAGGCAAGCCATCCCTTGGTTCCTCCTACTCGTAAGTATTTTACTCTACCCCAGAGCATACCCATGATTTATAGTATTTATAAAGAATACAGCTCCTAGTTCCCAAGTATTTACAATCTGTAAATTTACTGCAGACCTGACCCAGTGTAACTGAGCAACAAGAAGGGCTGGTATGAGAACAAAAAAGCTGGGTAGCTTGTCCCGGATATGGGGGAAGATTCTGGCTTGTGCTGTTTTTTGTGCTTTGAAGAGTCCCAGAGAAATTCTGTGAGGTGCCAGCACTCAGCGTGAAGGAAGATGATTCACTTATTCCTCACAGCAGACTGTGGGAGTGATCAGATATACATCAGTCTGGCTAAGAGTCATCCCAACAGGGAGTTATTTCACTTTTAGGGGTGCTGAAATGACTGACGTTATATCCTGAAGAGGGAAATGCAGGGAATTCTTACGGGTGCACACATTTTCGTGAACAACACACACAGTGGAAACAATTTCCTGTTTTGAGAGAGATCTATCATTGGCACAACCGTTGAGTTTAGCAAAACCAACAAAAATGCATACATGGTTTCAATTCAGGCGCTGTAACTAAGAATTAAGCCTTCCTTCCACAGCATGGGGCAAACAAAATGCCCTTGCTCCTCCAGCTGCTCAGCAGTTTCACCAGTGGACGAGCATCACAGGGACCTGAAAGGAGGAAAGAATTACATGACATTACTTGGAAGAGGGCAGGCTAAGAGAAACGGGGGTAAAAATCCCCCATGAACTCCTGACTACCTTCCTCTTTCCTCATAGGATCTCGCAAGGCTTTACTAAGTTGTGAAGCACAGTTGGTGAGAGCTGAACAAGTGAATGCGGACATGTCTTTTGACCTGAGACCAGGAAGCAAGCGAGGGCATAGCTCTATGACATGACCGATAGTGTAAATTAACAGTGCATCGCCTGCTCCATGGAAACTGCTCTCCTCCATACTCATACTGCAGGGCACGCACTGAGTAACTTCTCCCTAGACTGGGGCACCTTACTCATACTGGATTTGGGATAAGAGCGCACATTTGGCCGTGCCCCATCTTGCCTCCCGGTAACTTGTTTGTGCAGCTGGACACAGACTTACAGGCCTGGTCCTCCCAGCTGATCTGCCCTGATTGGCTCTGTCCCCTACATGCCCATAGATCACACTGCACTAGTCCATGCATGGCCACCAGCAACGTAGGAATGAGAGTCCTGGCTTAAGCTGCTTGCGTTGTAGGTATATTACTCTCTCCATGCCCCAAACAGATGAAGGCTTGTCCAGCACAAGGCCATTAAGATCATTAAGGACATGGCTGATACCAGCACAATGAGAAAGGGAAAAGAGGAGCCGGACAAATTTCATTGCCGTTGGCTATATATTGCTTTAACATAACTCTTTGTTTAGCTCTTTCATGCAATTCCGGCAAATTATTCTAGCTTTAGCCTAGCAAACGCATTCAAAGGATACATACAGGCTTGGATGGCAATATATTCTGTACTACGAGTAGCATACTTTCTGCAAGACAAACACACTTTGCTGTGCATGCAAGATTGACAGAAACATTCTCCAAAACCCAGAGGTGCTCAGGCATTACTGGGAACAGAAGAAAACTCCAAATCACAGGCTCACCTCACTGTCAGGGTCACGTGCCATTCAGTGCGGAGAGAGACGAACTGCAGTAGCTTATACAGCAAGCACGCCCAACGGAAAGAGGCCAATCTTCATAGATCCCCTGAGCAAGTAAACAAACATTAAGTACCATCAGTTGGTTTAATCGCTGCAGCATTTCCACAGCCACCCTTAAATTGATTAAAGATCAGAAGTTGCAAACCTAGACGCCTAATGCAAGGCACCTAAATCTCTTTTTAGACAGTTGATTGGATTGTCTTTGATTTTTAGTGCTGTTGAGCTGCAGGTAGTCAACCCTTTTCAAAACCAAACCACTTTCTGCGTTGCCTAAAAATGAAATAGGTGATTTTTTAATTAAAATTTTTAAGACTACTTGGACAACACTGGCCTAGGCTTACATTTGCTGATCATCTTTGAAGTCTCTTGCATTTGTCAAATGCCACATGAGCACACGCTGAAGCATACACAGAACAAATTCATCTTGCTGGGGTGCTGGCAATGCTTTACCCTTGCTCTCTGTTAGCAAACGTTTCAGTAACGTTTCAAAGAAGTCTGCCTGCCTCTGTTTGCCTCACAATCCCCATTTCATCAGGTTATTCCACAAAATTTTATTAAAAAAAAAAAAAAAGAAAAAAACTTATTTGTTTCACTAGCCCATCCACCAACGCACAAGAAAGTATTGCCAGAACACAGTGTTACGTTACGTGTCCAGCCTCACTTTCTTAGTGCTTGCTTATAAAGCTGACCAATAATCTCACCCCAGTTGTCAGTGGAAATGTGGAGCCACGTGCTATAAAGTCATAATGGAACATGACGTAGCAAGTGCGTATGAGTGCTGGATGAGAGGAAAAGCCCATGCAGCGGAGCGTGAGGTGGACATCAGCTCATGGGTACGTTCTCAGCTTTCTCTTCCTCGCTGCCTGGTACTTCTGCTTTGAGCGCAGAGCGGAAGCATGAAAGGTGGGCTGTGCACAGACACATTGACCCTGAGCCCGGCGAGCCCCCGCTATTTACAGCTGCGTGGCAGGCGTGTGCAGCGCTCTGCTCCTGCTAGGCGACATAACACCTTCACCACACGAGCAGGGGAGTCGGCACACAGGCGCTCCTAAATGAGTGCGGCTGGCGTATGTGGTCTGGTTTCTTTATTTGCCAAACTAGAAAAAAGAAGAGGAGAAAAGAGAGACATAAACAAAGCATAAGACAGTCAGCTAAGGATCTGGCATGACCTTCTCCCTGACATTTGAGGATGAGAGTGGATTAGTCCATGAATGAGTAGGTTTTATGGCTGTAGGATGCAACTGTACTATCATGCTCTTGACTTCATATCTGCTTCCCAGACCTCCTTTTTCCACACTGTGCACAATTCAGCACGGAGAAGTGAAGGAGCTCAAGCACAGAGGAACGGCTGAGGCACTCTCAAATTTGACCGCTATATGCAATATGGGTGCAAAAGGTGCCCTCCTAAGGGGTGCTGAGGTCTCTGCATTACGGACACCATTGGCCTGAGCTATTTGGCCCAGAAGCTTCAGGGAACGTGCAGATATTGCTGCTGAGGGCAAGTTTAGGTGTTGGCTGAGAGAAACCAATGGGAGCCGAGCGCATCCTACGCAGTCCCTTGATCTGGACTCTCATGCAGTTAGAGCAATAAAACTTCTGTTGACCTCAAAGAGGTCAAAATCTTTCAAGATGCTGAAAAGTCTCACATTTCAGTGGTCAGCACCTTGTCTGGGTGACTCATTTGACCAGACAGAGATGGAACTGGTCATCTGGTGTTGTAGCTACAATGGGGGAGCACAAGACAAAAGATGGGTTGTTATTAGGATGAAGCTGAGCCAGACTGACCAATTTTTAAAGCACAATAAATCTGAGAAAGCCTGAAGGCAGGGTAGGAGTACACCGAGCTGATAGAGAAAGCCACTACAGTTTCTCCCACCGTGGTCCTGAAGTACGGACTTCTAGGCACAGGTCTTCCTGACAACTGGCTGTGTGTGCAGGGGAAAGAGCTACAGCCAAACACTGCATTTTAGCATGACTTTGGACTAAGGAAAAAATATTCCATTTATTTTCTCTTTCCCTTCCCTCCCTTTTAATAATTTGGGGGAAAGCTGTATTATTTGCATTAGCTACTTGCTTACTGAAAGACGATTTACTTCTGAGAGAATGAATTAAACACATTCGTTTATGTATAAACTAATTTGCATATAAAAATACTAAGAGGTCTAGTCAAGTCAAATAAATGTAAGGATATATACTTCACAGTTTTGACTCATCCTGTGAGAAGGTCTTGTATAAATACCATGGTACTTCAACGAGTTCTTCACCCCGAACATATCACTAGCATGAGGGAGTGAAGAGAAACTAAAGGCCGGATAAATAGAAATCATCACTTCTGCTAACTCGTACACAAAGGGAAGGTTTTATCACTGTGGCTCAGAAATATCATCAAAAGAGGGAATGATACAATGCGGTTAGAGGAGACACATTCTGAGAGGAAAAAAGCTTGGCTATGAACATGAGGTACCGTACTGAATATAATATTTCTCATGCAGCACAGTACTACAGATAAATGGGGTCCAGTCCATGCAGCTAGAATTTGTAATACATATAATTTGGAAATGTCTAGCACTAGGCTTTGACACAGATAACTTTAAACTGTTTGTCAGATATCGAAAGGACTGAAGAGCAGCAGCACTAGCAGTGTTCAAAACATTGCTTTGAACAGTTGCAGTGTTAATTCTAAGAAATCCTGCTCCATTTTAAAGATTTCTTTTAAATATCCTCCCTCCCTCACACATACAGATTTTCAAATTTCCCCACAAATCTTGGAGAAAAATATGCAATATGCCACTTCTTTCGCCTTTCCCCTCTTGAGTTTCTGGCTTTATTTCCAGCTTTCATGTCCTAAGTATAGAAAGAAAGATCTGTGACCTGAAGGGCTGTATTTTTGCAAAGTAGTGCTGTTGGGTATCAGTCCTATAATGAAGCCTGACTGTGATGCAAATGGTATTCAGTACATTGTGCAGAGTAGGCTCCTGCAGGCGTCCCTAACTTGGGAACCCAACACATCTCTCTCTTTTGGAAATTTAGATTTATAGCTGTGCCCCTGCCTTACACCCTCGAACAGGAGTGACTGCCAGCACACAACAGAGTAGCAAGCCTGGTAGGGAGTTTTCTGTATCTCTCCAAAACCAAAACACATTGTTTACTTAAAGTTCGACGGGAGTTCATGTCTCAACCTCACTTTGCTCTGCCAGAAATAGCTGCTCAAATGGCACTACATTGCTTTCAACTGTCAACTGAGCCCTTCAAAATAAAGAACAGTAGCTTATTCGGGGAATATTGTTTGGGAATATTGTTGTTTGTTTTCAAAGATTTCCTGCACAAAGACTTGTGGCACTGTTCCTATTTATAGTTTCTTATTTACACTCATTTTTGGGACCCAGATTTCTGATATCTGCATTCTTCTTCCACATTAAGGGTATAGTCAGACTTGCTATAGCTGGCCTGGGTTATAAAGATACCGTACCTAGCTGCTCACCGCCTCACCCTGTAAGCATAAGCAGGAGGAGAGGAAATAGGTACAGGTGGAACGATGCCAGCAGATCTGACAGGGCTGTAACCCTGTCAGTTGCCCTCAGGCAATTCCCACAGGTGGATGTGAAGAATAGCCAGAAGTTGTGACATGTTAATGTAAAAAAGCTGCAGCTGGGAGAGCTCATCTGGCACCATGCTCTCAGCAGGTTGTAAATCACATTAGAAGCTTGGGGAAAAGTTGGAAGGAGAATCCAGATCTCCGGATCCTCACCTTGGTGCTTTAATCTTCGTATCGTGGCTGATAAACAGAGTCATTAAACAAACTGTCACCTTCCACGTGGTAGGATGCCAGTAGTGGCCGAGAGCTCTGTTCTGAAAAACACACTTTAATTTAATTAAACAGCAACAGTTCTCTTAACTTGCTCAAAGAACAGTTTTATACTGTAATCTGAAACATGGTCAATTTGAGATCGCTAAAGGCCCTGAATTCAGGTCATTTACACTGCTTTCAAGGAACGCCTCTCAATATTTATAAAAATACGCTTCGACAAGTTAGCAGATTAGATTTAAGAAGGATATACCTCGTAGGCCAAGGGCATGGTTAACTGGCTTGCCAGGTGTTAGCGTTCTCAGCGTGCCTTGCCGAAACCACAGCCTGAGCTTGGGGCACGCGAGGCAACGTCAGTGGTTCTCCCTTCTGTCGTAACATTTCAGATGAGATCCCGCCACAGCGAGACCGACCTCTCAGCTCTTTACAGGATGCAGAAAGAGACGCCTTGTTTCAGCTGTAGCCTTTTCCAAACATATTCAGCACGAGGATCTCACCAAAAATGTTTTCACATACTGCAGCCTGTCGTAAAAAGCTGACGGCGCGAGGAATACAAACCACAAAAGAGGGCCAGTGTTTTGCAGACGCGGCATGTTCACGCCACTCTTCACAGGACGCTGAGCCTGGCAGCTGCTTTCAGAAGCGAGCGTCGGGGCTCTAATCTCTGTTCGTTGGACAAGCAACTCTAGCGCTTTCAGACGTGGCTGGTTAAAGCTGATCTCTTTGCCTGTGAATGAGCAGAGCCGAGGCAGGGACACAAGCACTGACTCCATCCCAGGGGTGGAAACCTTCAGGAGAAGGGAGGGGGACTGGCAGCAGGGGTCTCCTCCATGAGTGGTGACATAAACGGCCAGGGTTGAATCTGCCAGATCCCCTTCTATACCACCAGAGACAAGGTGAAAAAAGAGGCCTTAGAAGACCCAAGTACTTGGTCCAGCCAACCTGGTGCACCAGGGACAGAGCCAAAATTGAAACGCAGGAGTCTTCACTCAGGCCCTTGTTTTAAAAATAGATAGAACTGTGTCAAAGTAACAGCAAGATCTGTGTCTGCATGTGTGTCTCAACTCATAATTATAATGCTTTGGTGGTTTTAGTGAGAAGAACAGATGAGCAAAATCAGCTCTCATTACAGTGTGGATTCCTCTGCTACTAAGGAAGGGGAAACAAATATTTACAGTAAAGGGTAAATAAAGTCGTCAATCTCTATACCTAGTATTTTAAAACCCCTAGCATGTAGATAACTTGGCACAAATGTTAAAAGCTACGAACAAGGCAATCAGGAAACACGTGAGCAACAATCATTATTTACGACTTTAGACAAGTTCAGTATCGCATCTAATTTAGAGTTCTGTGTCACATATGCTAGATGAGACAATCTGCTATGTCTCATTTGCAGCATTTACATCACAGATTAATAGATTAATCACTGCTTAATCACATTGTGGCAATAGCACTCTTTTGGGGATCTTACCATATTTCATGTTTGACGTCAAGAAAATTTATTTAGAGCTCTTCTACAGAGCTCGAGCAACCGCTTTCCAGCGGGTGGGGCAGGAGGGGATGGAGGTAGAGCACAGGTTTAGGAACGATCATTAAAGAACAGAAATTCTGTTCTGTTCTGCCAACTCATGCTTTTAACATATTTTCAGAGCTGTCTAATCACCTTCTCCTTACTTCCAAAGGAGCAATTCTCACTTGAAAAGCAACTAAACAGGCACTTATTTCCCTTCAACAGGTCTGTTCCTCGTGTATGTGCAGAGTCCTACACTAGGGCCTTACCATCTGCTGGAGGTCTTATTATTTTCTTAGACTGACTTTCTGAAGAAATAAAGTATATGTGACCATATGGAGCAAGAATTCCTTACTAATAATTCTGATCGACACTGGCCGTATTTGTACAGCCCTATTTGACAGGGTGATAGAAATATCAGAGATTTTATAATGTCCCAAAGTTTGTTAAACTAGGTGCCCTGGGAGAAAGGAGAGTCCTTACTCTTTGTCTTATTGCAGTGTCAGTCAAACATTATTCTCACAGCAAAAAGTGTAGGTAGGAAAGGGTGCTTAAAAACGGCCAAAGCAGCCTGCAGCTGGCATGAGAAAAAGTTAACATAAGTAACTTATCATTGAACCTGCTCTCTTCTCCAATAAATAATGAGAAAAGCAGTTATTAATGTGTGACTTCAGACACCCTCATCAGAAGAGCAGAGGATAAGGAAAGCCAAGGAAAGTGTCCTTGGTAAGATACAGAAAGGCATGTAATTCCTGAGTGAGGAAAAGGAGCCATTGAGGAAAGCAGAGGCATTATCAGCCTCCAGCAAAGACCAGGAAAGATTAGAAAAGGTGACCAGAACAAAGACCCTGTGAACACTTTGAATTTAAAGCTGAATTCGCATCGACCTCTGACTCCAGGTTCCTGAGACTCTCAGAATGTCCCACCAATGAATCATTGTTGGGGCCTACATGTTCCTGCTTAACTTTGCTTACTTGTATATATATATATCTAATAAAGCTAGTCTGCTAGAGGATGGACTGAGTTACTTGACTGCTCAGCTGCCAGATTTGTAACTTCAGTAACAGTGAGAAAAAAATAAATCCAAGATTGCAATCAACCACACAATGCAAATCCTTAGAAAAGCAGACTACAGTATTTTCAGGGCTTATCAACCTGCTAATTATTCCTGGAAAATGAGAACAGATCAGAAAGAATTCAAGACTGAGGACCATGGACTCTGCTCCATCTCATGGCACAGCAGAAAGTTTCAGCTGAGCAAATTCACTGAAAGCAGCAGCTCAGCACAAGGGCCTCTACCAACACAGACCACCCAGTGGAAAGTACAGTCTGAGTGGTGCAGCTTGACACTATGATGACTTTCAGATCCCACATCAAGGCTAAAAAAAAAAAAAAAAAAGCTTTCCTGCAACCTGAATACATTGCTTTTAAATGATCACTTTTCAGAGCTAAAGCATATTTACTCAATCCAGCAGCTTTCTGTAAGACACTACACAACCCTCAAATCCTCTACACAACCCCAACTCTGCACAGCGCAAGCAGACACAACCCAACTCTCCTCTTCCTCTCGGCCAGCCTGCCTACCCCAGGGTCTGTAAACGCCGAAGTATTTCTAGCCCTCGTGGCTCATTGAAGGTCTCGTCTGAGAGTCCTGGGAGCAACACAAAAGCTTTAATCCCATCATCAAAGTTTCTCAATTAATTTCACATATGTAGGACATCAATTCTAATGCCACGATAATATGATCCACACTGTGAATGAAGTCTGGTGACATTGTCTTTAAAACAGAAATACAAAGCTATTTGATTTTTTCAGAGTATTGTTTGGATTTTAAATCAAGCTTCACTCTAACATTCCTGGTTTGAGACTTCCTGTAAATTACTGTGACTGAATGAAGCAGAAAATAGCCTCATTTTAAGCAATTAATTTTGCATATTGCCCCTTTTCTCTGTTTCCTAAATGAAATTAAGGAAATTGGATTGCAATAAGAAAAATGTACTAGACAATGTGTATCTGACAACCAGTTACATGTTTAATAGAGACTTATTTTCCACTGTCAGAACTGGGTAAAAAAGAATAACAATTGCAAATAAGATCTGGAATCAAAAGCCTCTGACATTCTCCTTCACAACGTGTCAGTGAAACAGTTACAGAAATGGCTGGGAACAGTGTAGTGCACTTATCTTACAAATTTATGTAGTTTCCCAGAAGGATGACAGAAACCTCCATGGCAGGCACCACTGATATTAGAAGGAAGCTGTACATTTGATGAAATTCCAAGAGAATTCTGTAAGCTACTGACCCTTTTTTGGAGCATATTCCAGAAGATATTACAGACTGTCAAGCTTGCATCACTGCAATTACTACTGCATGTGCAAGATAATTAAAAATGGATGCATACCTACTACCCCAAAGTCTCAGAAGACAGGATTTTTCTTGCTTCCAGATTGGAAAAAAAAAGTTTGTAAAAAAAAAAAAAGTACACAACGGTTAAGAGAGTCTAGAAACAGAATCAGCTTCTTAAAGCTAAGGAAAACCTGTATCAGTATCCCAGGATAGATTCATCCCAAAGCAGCTCCTCTTCTGTTTTGCCATCTGGCTGTGGCTTCTTTTTATTTTTTTTGTGCTTTTTGCTCTCTTTCTCAGCAGGGTTTTCTTTAAGCCTTTTGTCTTTGTAAGATTTTGATTTCTTCTCATTTATCAAGTCTATGTCCATTTTCATTCGCTTTTGCTTCTCACTTTCCTTTCCAGAATCTTCATCTTCACCGTTTTCCTTTCTTTTCTGCTTTGTGCCTTTTTTCTCAAACTTCAGCTCTTCATTGATATATTTCTCCTCCTCAGCATGTTTTCCCAGAAGTTTCTCTTCTTTTCTGTAGGAGCTGATAGCAGTTTCAACAGACACAAGTTCATGGCAGTCAATAGATTTGGCAACTGATAGTCCAAAGCCCTTATCTCTGATGGTGGCCACCTCAGATCCTTGCTTTTCCATACAATACCCCACGTTAAAGTGACAATCGGGCGTCTTCTCTAGTGTATTCCCATAAGCTGATGACTTTTCCCCAGTATTTGTAGGTGAGTGTGGTTCTGAGCAGAGGCTAGAAGGCTGGGCTTGTTCGCCCATAACGTTTGAGGGTAAAACCTCACCAGCATCACTTCTTCCTTCAACATCTTTATCTTGAAATACTTCCTCTTCTGTCTTTCTAAAAAGGGTTTTTGACTCCGGAACTCTAGCTTTCTGTACTTTAATGTAATCTGCTAGTTCATCTTGAAAGGAGTCATAAGTTTTCTTTGAATTCTTCATGAGACTGACAACCATTGTTTCTCTGCAAGAATTGGGTAGAAAGTCTTAATTATTAACACTGATCTATTTGCTTAGGGCCTGGTGATTTAAAAAAGTCAGGAAGGTAGAAAGATACACATGATTATACACAATTTATATTTCCACGGTTAGGAAAAGAACATATTTCAAGTGTGTTGCTCTGTATAGCCACATATACCCTGCTATATATGATCAAAATTGTAAAGTCAGCTGAAATTATAGGGGACAGATTCTACCCTTTGTGAAACTGAAAATCTGGGGTAACTTCATGAAGACCAAAGGAGTTTTTTTTGTGACCTGAGACACTGTGAAAGTAAAAGATGCTTTTAAAATGACTGCACAGATTTTAAAAACTATTTTTTAAAAAGAAAATTCAACACCCTCTCTCATTAACTAATCTCTTATTAGCTGCTGATATTAAACAATTACATTGCATACTGACTGTCAAGTAACAAAGATGCCCATTTGTGTAGGAGATTCATTCTATTGAGCAGTTGCATCATAGTTATTCCAGACAAACTGAATGACTACACAGCAGAACAAAACAAAACAGAAGCTAAAAATCTGGGTTGCCAGAAAACATGATAAGCATGCTCCCAAGGCAAAACTAACTAGCAGTTTGTATTTTACTCTCCATTTCCTCAGGCGGGAAGATAAGGTGGTTAGATGACAAAGATACCCTCTTCGGATTTCCAAAGACCCAGTCCTTAAAAGGATCTTGGCACTGTCTTCATTCACCAGCTTTATACATTCAATTTGTTAAACTATGGATAGCCCTGTAGCATTTCCCTACGCTTCTGTGTTTTTTGGGACTCTCATTCTATTGACTAAACAAACTTCTAAAGTCATACCAGTAATACACCGGTCACATTATTGCGGTTACATTAATATTACAACTTACTTAAAGTATGTCTTATCAGAATGCCTAATATGAAAACAATCTTGGTACTTGGTCTACACTTGCACAGCAGTCTCCAACAAGTATATCTTTATTCATCAATGCATAAACCACCAGAATATCCATTCTGCGATTAACACAATCTACCATCTCTTTCTGGGTAAAAAGAAAAGTACAGAGTATACCTATCCGATAAATCATCTTATGCCAAACATAATAAGATGCTGTGTTGATGAATCCTGAAGTCAATAGGATCAGTGGAGACTTGGTACATTTCAGGATTAAGGTTTTATACTCTGTATCAACAGGAATCTTACAGTACAGATCATTTCTGCCTAGACTGAGCACTGTAGATACTAAGAATAGATGCTACTGTCCCTGGACAGCAAAATAACCCAGAAAAATTGTGTAGGTCTCAGGATCTTTCCTGTGGACTGCCGTTGAAGATGTGTTGTGGGACCTCCAAGACTGAATTTCAGCTAGAAATAAAATTTTTAAATGGACAGTGCCCCTTAAAGCCAGTACAAAAAAAAAAAAATACACAGTAACTACTCAAAGTCACTTAACAGCAAACAGCAGGGCTAATAAAGAAGGCAAGCTCTTTCATAGAAGCCTGAAAGTACAAACTACAGATGAAGAATGACAGAATACTCACCTCGTCTGGTGCTTATTTCCTTGCATGTGGGACTGGTACATTTCTATAGATGTAAGTGTGATGTTACATATAGGACATATGTAATGACCAACCCCAAATGCTGAAAAGAAGGGAGCTGTAGGTTAGACAGATAGACTTCAAATAAAAAGGCAAAACTCAAAGCACATCCTGTTCCCCCGCCATGCAGAGTCATAATATAAGGTCTCCATAAACAGTTTTTAGAGACAGATATAAGTTCTCTGCTGCAATGTTATTTCCAGTTTACACTAGAACAGTATTTATGAAGGCAGCTGGTGAAGCAGAGTTGCAGCGTAACCACAGTCTAAACATTACAAAAGAGAATATTTCAGATGACTGAAATGAGCCAAAAATAATTCTCGTACACTGTTATCAAGTTCTGATGAAAATGAACTATACTGAAAAACTAATGCTATTGTAAATACCTGACTGAGAGCGAGCACCCACAGACACCGATCCTGTTGATCTGGATTTAATTCAGATAAGAGCACTTTAAACATTAGCTGCTCAAATGTCCATGCAGTGTTAGTTTAACCCTGGGCAGAAGATGCTGAGAGAACTGTCAACACAGTGCATTATGAATGCAATATGCAGAGCCTCAGGCAAATATAAGGTAGGAGATGAGAAAAGCCTTGTGTCTTCTAGGCTGTCATTTCCTCCTCACCTACAAGCTGTGCCATCCATAGAGCTAAATATATGAAAACCAGTGAGTAACTTTTTCCCCCTGCCCAAACCCAAGAGCTTCATCCATTAGTAAAATGCAGCATTAATTCCAATGGGCTATTGCTTTGTATCAAAATGTATTATTTTGTTTAAGTTACAGCAAGATTTACTTAGTGGGAACTGGTTTATACAAACAATGACTTTTGATTATCAGCTCGGATTTTGAATTCCCTACTAAAGAAAGGATCAACAGCTCTGTTGCAAAGGATCAGATGATGCCCCACTGAAGTCGATGGCAGGGGCACTGGTACCGGAACAAGGTTTTGGCTTTGCATAATGCTTCAAGAAAGACACAGAGTAACTGGAGACAGTCCTCAGGGGAAGCTAGAGAACAACGACAGTCTAGAAAACATATTTTGCTTATGTGAGAAGAATGAGAGAATTACGACGATCAGTTTGGTGAACAAAAGGTTAAGATAAGACATGACACCAGTTTTCAATTTTTTAAAGAATGTGAAAAAAAAGGTTCCATTTCCTGCCTCTAATTCTTGTTCTGTGCGCAATGAGGAGACACACAGTGGTCAGAGAGAGCTAGGTCAAACGTCAGTAGAGGGTTTTAAGATTGAAAAGATGAAGACTGAGAAGTTCTGGGATATGTGGCCTGTGGAATTTCCACCACAAGCTTATACAAGCTTCACAGATGCATATATACAGATACAACTGGTTGTTGGGGGACTGGGTTTTTTATGATCCTTTGAACTTGACTGCAGGGCTCAGTAAAGATGGGATTTGGGTCTCCAAATAAATAGGAAATATTTTCCAACCTAAAGCTGTCAGAGATGGAGACGTTTAGCACTGCACAGAACAAACAGAAAAGAGAAAATGAACTTGTTCTATAGCACAGCAGAAGCCTATCATTTCCTTGCACAAATCAGAGCATTTTATTGCACAAACGAGACCTGAACGCTCAAGCGACGCTCAAGAAGTCTCTATAATACTTCTTTATGTCCTGCTTACCATTTGTGTTGGATTCTGCAAGGACAGCTTTGTCTCCCAGCTCCTCCATCATCTTTTTACGTGCTTCGTTTCTTCTGTGTTTCTTACCAACATAGTGCTGATGGGCCATCAGTGGATTATTGAAGGGAGCACAGCAGAGCTTGCAGTATTTGTCTGGATCATTTAACTCTAAACTTGTGTTGGAGGATGACGAAGACTCTTCAGCTTTTGAAGTCAGCAAGGGCTTCTCAGCTGAGGGCTTCTGTAAAGCTAGAGACGTGGAAGTAGATAAACCCGCTGATGGCACAACAAAGTAAAGGCTAGAACGATTCCGTGTAACAAAATAAGAGACTGCAGAACTACAGGGCTGGAAATGAGAACAGCTTGCTGGGCGATGCGCTACCTGCAAGAGGCTACAAAATCTCCTGGTTCTTGCAAGGTTTTTGTGAGAGTGTAGACTGGTAAGGGACACAACTCTGGAGTATTCAGAAACCCCACCAATAGATAACAGTATTAATCAGCTGTTTATGATGACTGGTCACTTTAAGGTCCTTACAGAGTCCGAGAAGAGGGATTCACCTTGCACAAGGTGATTCAGAGCACCTTCGCTACGCTCCATCTTTAAATACAGCTCTGCATCTTGGACTAGTTCCAGTTAAGGGTTTGTTATGGACTGACTGTTTCTTAATTCAACATATTAATTTATCAAATTGAACAACATCGGCTCTGCGTTGCAATGAAATTCTTAGAACAACAACAGACACTGTTCATTAATAACAAATTTGAGATATTTGCCTTTAGTTTCAGTCAACAAAAAAGGGGGAATTGGAAAGCAAGGATCCTTGGTTTCAGAGCTGCACGGAGCAATGTCTTTGTTTATCCAGCTAACGAGTCATCATGCAGCAGCTCCACAACTTCAGCAGAACAGGAAAGCACAGAGGCATAGCAGGTGCAAGAAGCTATTTCACTATATTTGTTTCAAAGAGTGACAGGCAAGCACATGCACTTGTAGGACCTAATCGTTTAGTTCTCACCGGAGATGGACTGCATGCGCTGGGTTGACATATGGACTTGGTCTCCTGATAATTGCTTCAGCTTTTTAGCATGGATTTTTCCCAAGTAATGAGACAAAGCAACAACTGGGGAAGTAAAAATCATGTTGCAGAGATTGCAGTATTTGTTTTTGTCCACTACTCCACTCCCATCCACCTGAAACCAGGCAAAGGCAAGCTCAGTTACAGGCATTCACTGAAGAACAAGGAAACATTTTAGTGAGTGATCTGAAGAGGAAGGGTCACCTGAAAATTGATACAATCCACTCTCTCCTGTTTTCCATGCTCCTGCTTCTCTTCTTTCTCACCACGCATTTGGATGTAAAGCCGAACTTTCTGAGCATGTTTTTTGCCCTGAGAAGAGATTAGAATTATCCCTGTTTCATTAACAAGGTGATAGGCACTGGTATATCCAATGACTGGGACTTCATTTGTCAAAAACTGCTTTCAGCACTTGCTGATTGTATTTGTATAAAAGCAGAGCCACAAGCAGATAAAGGCCAGTTCACGTATCAATCCTATTTTTTAAGTCAATTATATAATACTTAGCATTACTCTTACCATTTTGCCCCAGGCAGCCCTCAGAGTCATCTACACTCAACTCTTTGGGAAACCAACAAATGCAGACACGTCCCCCTATAGACAGGGGCACCACAACTGTTAAGGAGAAGACTGCACCCATGTCACAGAGCAAGTCTGCTGAGCTCCCTTTCCACAAAACCTTGGCGCTTGACATCAAGGCCATCCTGTATTGTGGCACAGAGGACTGACAGGCGACACGACTGAACAGGAAGCCTAGTCTGCCTGTACAGTCAATGGAGAGAAACAAGCTTTCCCTTCAGGATGAGTTAAGAGTATTTCTAGCTTTGAATGGTTCCAGCTTTTCCAGCTGCAGTGATTTCAACACCTCCCTACCGAGGATACAAGAGTCCAGGTATCTAAAATTAGGTATTACATACACTTCCCTTAGCTGCTGTTATTTTTTAATTCTTAGATGCTCCCCCAACCCCTAACCTTCAGACTCCTGCACTTACACTTATCCACATGCCACAGTATACACTGGTAACCTACCAAGCAAAACAAGTAACTTATCTTCTCTCATCTGATGCTTTCCAAGTGTCTTTCAGTGATTCCGAGGTGCAGTCCAGGGTAGTATAGCAATATTACCAAAGAGAACAAGGTCCTATCACACCTGGCTAGCCAACACAAACATGACTGAGAAGAAAGAGCCGATTATTTCCATATCAATTCTTTCTGTAATGGTGAAATCAGGTAACTTTACAGTGGCACCTATCGTCTTCAACTGGATTCAGATCCAAGAAACAGAAATTCAAGCTGACGATCTGAACTCTGTGAAGTGCTGAGTACAATTCCTGCTTAAGTTAAATGGAAGTAAGGAAACAATACCTTGCAAAATCTCAGTTCTAATTAATACTCTGAATGGTAAGAAAGATCCTCAAGAGCAACTAACATTTTTAACTTTCATTTTTACAAGAGGAGAGAAAAAGAAAGAAATACCTGTGCCTGCAAATCTGCACATGCTCAGGATCAAGTTTCAAAATAAAGCATGCTTTCCCACGTCTATGGCAATATCCCAAGGCACGCATTTGTTCTAAAAAACGTCCTCAGCATGATTCATACAGCCTGTCTCACACAGAGATGGATGCACAGAGAGCAACCCGTATGTGTCACGGGATGCAGAGTCAGGAGGCATGACCTCTGTCCACTGTATCGAGCGTTGCTCCATACCATCCATATGTCCTAGGTAACACGGTGCAGATCTGCTTCAACCACATCATGGCTGAAGGAGTTCGGGTCCTTCTATAATCATGCTGCAATATGCAGGTGACGACCCTTCACCACCAAACCCACAACTTTCACAACGTTCAGTTCTGGATAATGCCTAAGCCGAGGATAAGCTTCGGGAAATTCACTACAAAAAACTGTAAATGGCCTTTTACAATACAACACAAAAACCCAAAACAAACCCCAGTGCTTGCTAGGAGAGACCCTCGCTTGCAGCCTACCTCATAATGTGACATCCTTTGGGACTCAAACTGCAGCACTGCCCCGCAAACTTTACAGAAAGTGTCGGTAAAAAGGTCTTTCCTTGTTGCCTCATCTAAAATGCCATCTAAATGTAAAGAGCAAAGGGAAAAACCATCAGTAGTTAGGACATGACATATTTTCATGTCTCTGCTTATACAAGATATTAACCACCAGTGAATATTCACACGCAGCGCAACATGAGAGAACGGGGTGAGGTTCATCCACTGGATCGCACTGTGCCTTGTTGTGGCTTCAAGGGAATGCTGAAAAGCCAATTAATTCTTCCTACTTACAGGAGTATTACTCTCATGGACTTCTAAAATACTACTATAAGTGTACCTGCACTTTAATAATAAAGGCAACAAAGCCTCTTCGTAGCATTCACAGTCCACTTTGAACAGAGTCATGCGTTTCTGACACTCTGCCCTAAAAAGGAGGATTTTACCTGAACTATGTCACACAGTCAGCTAAATATGGAAATACTCTTGAAAGAAGGGAATCAAAGACAGACAGGCAGTTGCTTGGCACGTGAAAAAGGCCAAGGGAAGCCTTGGATACTTAGGAAGGTTGTGCCTGGGCCCCGTATACCAATTTAACTGATTTAGTTATATGGTAAGTGTGCCACCAATGGATTGTCCTGATTTTCTTTGCCCTGTTCCCAGTTAACTCATGGCATGTATACACTTTAATTTGCACTATAATTGCCCCAAATTTAAAGCACAACAGCTATTCCTGAGCAATTCTATGCATTTGATCTAGGAAAAAAAACCTTAATCTGCACTTAAAAGTAGCATCAACATCGTATCAGTTCGGAGCATGAAAACATCCCTCAAACTAGCAAAGCTGTCCTAGCAAAACCCTAGTAAAGATAAAGCTACAGCACTACCACAGCTTTTTTTTTTTTTTTATTTTTTTTTTTTTAACACCCTCTCAATACAGTTTAACTCATTAGGGAAACCAGCTTAATTCATGTTGCCTGAAACACTTCTCTGCTACAGGTCATGCTTTCAGTGAGTGAATTGACCCATATTGCTATACCTCCAAATCCTTTTTTGTGCTGACAAACTCTTAAGAGCAGCTAATTCCTTTTCATCCCCAGTCCACAGTGGGTTACACTTTAATTTCAGGTAATCGGCTGGATTTTTACAATTTCACCTTTTGGCATGCCCTGCTTTTAAAAATAAGATAAAATTAAACCAGTTTAAAGAAAATATAAGGAGGCCACAGCTTTAACCAGGCAGCTTAACTAGACAACGTCCTTCAAATGAAACCAAAATCAAAAGAAAAATTACTGGGGAAAGTATCATGCTGTCTTAATTAAGCCTAATCCCTTCTAAGTTTATCCAACGTATGAAGCTGTCTTCCATCCTTGTAACCAGATATGGAGCAGTTTGCTTCCAGAGGAGACCCTCAGAAGATCTTTGCTGTTCCCTGGAGAGATCGCGGGGGCAGGAAGGCATTGCTCCCTGCAGTCTCCTGGCTTTTCAGTGTCAAGAGACACCTAGATGTCCATAGAGACAATCAGCCTTTACCATTATTTCTAAAGATTACTCTCTTGGCCACCTGCCAAAGGCATGTAAAGTCCAAGGGAGCACGAAAAAGAAGAATGAAATACTGTGTTGTACGCCCTATAACTCCAGGGTTGAGAAGAAGAACGGTGCTACGCTGTGAGACAATCTGATCATAGATGATTAAGGAAGGACTAGGTCAGAAGTTCAAGAGCTAGGAAACAATTTAATAAGTATCTAGCCAGGCCCCCCACTCTCACACTGGGCAGGTAACTTCCATCTGTGCACGTTTACACAGCCTCTTAGAGAAGGAGCATTAACTTCAGTACAAGCTGTACGACATATGCTTTAACTGAGCCAGTATCACCCCAGGAAAGAGAAGCTGCTTGTGGCTCCAGCAAAGTGGAAGCCTGAAACAAGGAACGTAAAACTGCTTTGACAAGCCAGCAATTATTATTCATGTAGCCTAAGCCTTTCAGGCAGAGAAGGGAAATAGGGGCAAAATACACAACTAAAGCGCAGCCACAAAAGAAAAATCCAGTGACTCTGCTTTAGGCATTAGCTGAAAGCCTACCTTGCACCTGAAATGCATGAATTTTCAGTGTCTGTAGCAGAAAAAGCCACTTAAAGAAGAGCCCATTGGTGTACCTTTCAGCACATCCATAAAAACTTGTCTACCTATGGAAAAATAAATGAAGCAATACTGTCTCCTACAAAAAAAGCACACACAAGGAAAGGAGCCAGGATGACAGGTGACAATTACAGAAATATAAGGTTGCATGTTTTAACTGTGTGCAATTACATGTTTCTTATTTCAAGCAAACATGCACATTTATCAGCTCTCACACATGCTGTCTACCTCTCCTATACCATTTCCATTGCCCCATTATCCTTCATAAGCTCATGAGAAATACTTCTTTTCAGAGGAAACTGGGCTTAGGTAAGTACATGTCAAAACCTCCCAGGGCAAAAGGTGGAAAAATCCAGCAGATAAACTGGGTACCATCTTCCTGTTTCATCATGCTTCAACTATATGCCCAGAAAGAAACTGTGAAAGACAGCCAAGGCTTCCATAAACGTACCACCTACAAGCTGCCCTTAAGACGACAAATATTCACACAGACACACAAAACATTATTGCTGCCAGAGTGTCGGAGCTTAAGAAAGCAGACCTTGGAGACAACGGCTACCCTGAGGGATGCTCCATGTTAGAATCAGCATAGCCCCAAAGGGAGAAGTACTACAACAGGTGGAGTTTCCCATTTTACTTTCCAAGACAGGAAGAAAACAGTTTGGGTTCTTTTGACTAGTAATTCTTAGGAATCACTATAATATTTCCTGCGATTATTTCAGCTCTTATTGATTCAAGCGCTTCAAGTCATAGACGCGGAACAGCTGCCAAAAGGATTATTTACTGAAATGCCTACGAACGCAAAAAGTGAAACACACACACACACAAAAGTGAAAAAAATCCACATTCTTTGTCAATTTTGTAATGCTAACCATTTATAGCAGTCTTCTGAGATACTTGGGCATTTTGGTAAAAGGCTGCTGGAGCCCTAATAGAGAAGGAAGAAGCAGATGGGATCAGGGAAGAGAGAGGAATAGGCTGGAAAGACAAGCATATATCTCCACAGGGAGAAGCGGAAAGGGAAAGAACCTACAGAATAGAATAAAAGAGAAAATTTAACCACTGCAAAGCATAAAATTGTTCCAGCTTTTTATGGTATGACTATTGCCAGTACACTCTCTACTTCCTCCTTATTCTTTATGTACACAACTTGCACAGCAGATTTGAAGCACTCTACGTTTACTTGAAGTTAGCAGCTACTTCGCAGTTACTACATGCGCTATTGAACAAAATGATGGCAGGAAATGGCTAATGAGTTTCACGCTACAGAAAAAGTTTGAGAAACCTACTCGAAACCAGATAAAGGGATAACTCTGAGTTCACATCACCCTGAAGAGCATCATCATCGTCTTCAAGCATTGTACGCTACCAAAAACATGTGGCTGTGTACACATACATCTATATCACCTATTATTCAGCAAGAACGCCTTCTTGTGTCTTTTACTCCTCAAGCTTTTCAAGAATCTCAGAGTGATTCAGGACTAGATCATTTTCCAGACACCCCACAGGTTACTTTATTTAGATAGTACCTCCACAAAACATCAGAACAGCCATCTCCTTTCTGGGGAGAGACTAGCACTCAACATGCAGCACCCCGATCTTAATCGCAAGCACTTTAAAGTGGTGAGATTAATGGTGGGGGGGTCTGATGACTCTGAACAACCAGAGTTAAGGCGCTGCTATGGTTCCATCAATAAATGTTTCCCAGCTCAATGTTTTGTCTCTTTGCTGAATCTTTGGAAGACTAAGAAGAAAAATCCATATGACCAACTTCTTGGCACTTATTCTAGCAAGATTTCCCTCCAAATCACGTTAGCTTGATCTTGCTGCGGTCAATTGGAAAGAACATCACTTTGGACGAAAGTCTCTAGGCACAGTTGACGTTTTAAAGGCTTCCAACTGTTCCTGATGCGAGAGATGCACTGGAAAATAGCCTTGTCAAACAGCCCACAGGATGATTAAACAGTCACTGACTTTGCAAAACCATGCAACCCTGCCCTGAACAACGCCCTTGGTCTCCCTACCCATTTATCCTTTCCCTCTTTACCGATACTACCAAAACCAGCCATTTATTTCTGGTGCTAAGCTCAGAATGATCTGCATATGAAACACCTCATTTCATACATGTCTTATGTGAAAAGGACACATCAGCTCTGGCCACATTTCAAATGAATGCAAAGACTGCTTGGTATCCCACTGCTAATTCCCCAACCATCCAAATCACTCTATTAACAGTGTGAATTTATAAACATGTACAAATATTGATCTGTGTGGATGACTGTGTCAAATCACAGCCTATAACTGCAATACAAACAGTTCATTCAAGACCAAAGGATAAAATCAAGGAACTGAACACCAGCTGTGCAGATAGCTACGGAAAAAGAGGACTTAACTAGGAATTGAAATGTCATTCAGCTGCATCCAAAAATGATTTAAGAAAGCGTTTATTGTGAACGGGGAGACCTTGGTTCTGTTCTCAGCTCTGCTGCAGACTTGTTAAACTTTGGACAACACCTTTAAACCTACATTCTCAAATGCAAAGAAGCTTAATTGCAGCTACATTCACACTGTATTTAGACACTTAAGGGTGAAGATCCAGGCTTTCATTTCTGCGTACCCCCATATCCTGCAACATTACTGCAGAAGAAGTTAGCTATGTACTGCAAAGGGATGAGTTGAAATTAATTCTTAGGAACGTGAGTAATTGTGCTGAGTTCCTCACTTGGATGGGGCTTTCAAATATTATCCTAAGCAACAGAATTAGCATAAGCAGATTAACTTGAAATTTCTATTTTCAGTTAGGTTCTGAATAATCTTGGCTTTATTTCCTTGCTTTTCTTAGAAAACAAGTGTTACAAAATAAATGTTTTGTAAGTGGTTCCAGATGTTCATACATCTGCCAGTATCTTGCTAT